CATGCCGGGTCCCTCACCACCTGGCCATGCCGGGGCCCTAACCACCTGGCCATGCCGAGCCTACTGCTTAATTACACTTTCATGGTGAAATGTTAGCAAAACTTTAAACTTCTGCAGTGCTCGGAGTGAAAAACAAAAATGTACATTTTACCAGCACTCTTTACCATTTTAAAACAAATGAGAATTTTTGTACCTTATATTTGTGTCTGGATATATTGTTATACACAAAACCACAGTAGGTGGGGTATTTATAAAAACTGGCAATGATAGCAGTGGTAGATCAAATATCTTTCTTCACTTCCCGTGTAAAGGAAGGGATGCGAGTTAGAAAGCACTTAGTCAATTTGAACTGTTCATAAACACACACACAAGATCTATCTAACAGACTTTCATTTTCCTTATTCAGCATTCATTTTTATTTATTGTCAAAGAAATGTACCAAGTAATTTAAACAGGGAAATAATCTGTTTATTCACTGCTAATTAGAATGACAAACTGTAACCATATCAGCACAAATAATTTGAATCGATGGACGATATTTTCTAATCTATTATATATATATAAAGCACCAAATCTATGTGTCTGTTTGTCCGTTACCTAACTACTCCTAAGTCGCTGGGCCAATCTCAACCAATCTTTGAGGGATGATAGTTTGGAACAAGGGGCATGTTAATGGTGGTTCCCAACGCCTCAACTCCCCATTATTCCTGTTATTAATTAATTATTATCTTTGACGTAAGTTAACGTTACCTGCATTCATAGATGGCGCCAAGACCTTACACACAAAAAACAAAATTAAAACAAAATTAAATTTTATATACACACACACAGTGTGGGAGGAGGAACACAAACGTCTTATACATCTGAGAGAGTGTACTAGCACTCTTTATGGATGAATGCAATGAAAAAATAATGGCCGCCACTATTGCAGTATTACATAAATTCAGATGAAGTTTCTACTCCAACAGCCTCTATGAAGCTGATATGAAGAGCCGTTTCTTGAGTTGTAACCAATTCCTACTTTGACCCGCGACCTTATAACTTCGGCCAATTATCATCAACTAATTAATAACGTAAAACAGTGTGGAAAGACATTTAAAGCTGGATGTTGAAAGTGGATAACAGAAAGCACCCCTACTGCCACTATTTATTTCCGCTTCCTCTTCCTACAAGGCCACCCTGACCATCTCACCATTTGGGTGAGTAATAATGTATACTGTAATTATATGTTATGTTATAAATAAATTGTGTGAAAGTTTGGATATTATGTTATTTATCATAGCATCCACCTCCACATTTTTTAAAGTTCATAACGGACAAAGGACGGGTACTTCAACTTGTTATTCTATAAAGCTATATGGAAAGAAGGTATAACTCGTCCATATATTTTAAAAACAAATTGAAAAATAAACTAATACTGAAATAGCAGGTAACTATAACCTGTAAATAACATAACTGGAGGTAGAAACACAAGCTACAAAAGATGTACGTTAGTTAAGGGAAAGATGGAAATTCATGTTATAAACATGAGCTCTATGTGAGCTAAACTTCTCTCCAAGTTTGTAAAAGAAACAATAACATTGTTATGTTTTCTAAACTTTACATCGCGCTTCTAAAATAAACATGTAATTCCTGTTAGAAATAGAGGATTTACTTTCATCAAACGTAGAAAGAAAAACCAATAACAATGGCATTCGTGTTTAAAATAGCTGTACATTTTCACCAAATTAGAAAAATGACATTTCACTTTGTAAATTCAAACTTTGCGTTAGTCGTACTCTTTTAACGAGTTCATGAAATAAACAATAAATTCATGCTATAAACAAAAGCTTTAAGATATAACTATAATCTAACATAAAACAATGAAATTATTGTTAGAACACAAGTTTGTAAACTAACAGAAAATTGTTAGAAAACAGATTAACCTTCCATCAAGTCAATGAAATTATTGTTAGAACACAAGTTTGTAAACTAACAGAAAATTGTTAGAAAACAGATTAACCTTCCATCAAGTCAATGAAATTATTGTTAGAACACAAGTTTGTAAACTAACAGAGAATTATTAGAAAACAGATTAACCTTCCATCAAGTTTCGGCCCGGCATGGCCAGGTGGTTAGGACGCTCGACTCGCAATCTGCGGGTCGCGGGTTCGCATCCCCATCCCACTAAACAGGCTCGCCCTTTCAGCCGTGGTGGCGTTATAATGTGACGGTCAATCCCACTATTCGTTGGTAAAAGAGTAGCCCAAGAGTTGGCGGTGGGTGGTGACTAGCTGCCTTCCCTCTAGTCTTACACTGCTAAATTAGGGACGGCTAGCGCAGATAGTCCTCATGTAGCTTAGCGCGAAATTCAAAACAAACAAACAAACAATCCATCAAGTTTCTAAAATAAACAATGATATTGTTAAATATGCAGTAATATGCTTGTTTTAATTGTGTACAAGAGACAGTAAAAGCCATGTTAAAAACACAAGTTTTACACACACACACACACACAAAACAACTAAACGTTAGCCTTAAATTTTCATAATTAACAATAAAGTAGCTCTTGACAATGAACAACATTTATTTTCTTAAATATAGACATTACAATCATTAAACAATTCATTGAAAGTGTGAAACAATGTACATTCAAAACTTTAATTACCAAAACTAATCTTATTTACTCATCTACTGTCCATAAACTGTTCACTCACCAAATCGTTTTTTTCTCTTTTTTTCTAGGAAGATTTGTTTCTTTATTTAGTCATCTTAGAACAAAGCCACATTAGGAAATCTGCTGTGTCCACCGCGTGGAATCGGACCCCGAATTGTGGCGTTGTAAGTTCACGAACTTACCGTTGTTCCATCGGAGGACTCCATCAAGATGAGATGACCATCTTGTCATCGCGAAAGTGTCCTTTTCAAGTAGATGGTTGAGGGAATCTGCTGGTAGTTCCGTCCCTGGTTATACTTTGAAATGATCTTGACAGAAGCCTTGGGCTCTTCAGCAGGTTGACTTACATCTTTCAAAGTCTTTCTGAAGCTAATCAGTTAGCTGTTCACTCACCAACGTACTTCTGAAGATGACTACAGTGAATGTCCTATAATTTGGATCACCTGCTTTTTTTTTCTGAATTCTGCCACGTTACATTTTAGGATGTTTGTCTTTATTATCTTATGCTTCCTTCCTTGTTGTCAGAAAAAGTTCAATATTTGGTGCCGTGATTACTGTGTAGTGCACAGGAATTTCTTGGTCATAGAAAGTTCAATATTTGGTGCCGTGATTACTGTGTAGTGCACAGGAATTTCTTGGTCATAGAAAGTTCAATATCTGGTGCCGTGATTACTGTGTAGTGCACAGGAATTTCTTGGTCATAGAAAGTTCAATATCTGGTGCCGTGATTACTGTGTAGTGCACAGGGATTTCTTGGTCATAGAAAGTTCAATATTTGGTGCCGTGAATACTGTGTAGTGCACAGGGATTTCTTGGTCATAGAAAGTTCAATATTTGGTGCCGTGATTACTGTATAGTGCACAGGGATTTCTTGGTTCATAGAAAGTTCAATATTTGGTGCCGTGATTACTGTGTAGTGCATAGGGATTTCTTGGTCATAGAAAGTTCAATATTTGGTGCCGTGATTACTGTGTAGTGCACAGGGATTTCTTGGTTCATAGAAAGTTCAATATTTGGTGCCGTGAATACTGTGTAGTGCACAGGGATTTCTTGGTCATAGAAAGTTCAATATTTGGTGCCGTGATTACTGTGTAGTGCACAGGGATTTTTTTTTTGTCACAGAAAGTTCAATATTTGGTGCCATGATTACTGTCTAGTGCACAGGGATTTCTTGGTCATAGAAAGTGAAAATATTTGGAACTAGTCTAACCCTACATCTGTGTTTCTGCATGAATTCAATTCTTATACGTACTCTTCCTCCATTTCAATTACCCATACACACCAAGTTGTGTAGAAAGGCTTCCCACATAGAAAGTTGGTTGCAATTTACCTCTTTAGAGCAACTCGATTCCTGTATCTCCTTCTGCAGATAATTTCCCAGATTTTGCTACCACATGACATTAAACACATGTAGTTATCGAAATACTGTTGATCATCACATTGTGAGGTTTTCCATCAATGACTCAATTTACCTGTGAGATACTTTCATTCAGTGATGCTCTTGGTTTCTCAACAGAGGTACATAAAATATTCCCACCATCGGGATACTGTCACCATGGTTATTATCAGTATTTAATTCAACACATTCTCGGAAGTAATGTCCATGTTAACAATGCACATAGTAGTATTTTCCCGCCATTTTTCAAGCCATTTTCAATGAAGTTGTAGCATCTCGGTCTTTTACCGAGGTTTACTTTTTACATTCTGAATAAACAGTTGTCGTATTAATCATTTGAACTCATTTACATCTCCATAAGTAAAAGTTGGCGTTTCTATACTCTTCGATCTGATAATCTCATATTTCATGGAAAGTGACTTTAGTTGTTTTTTTGTAACTTCAAATGATTCAATTTCCATTGCCAACCAGACAGCTTTTTTTAAACGTATACACATATTTTATTCGGCCTAATTCGCATATTATTCCCCACTATGCCATCTATAAATTGGTCGCAGGCTAACAAATCCATCATTTCACGAGTAGCATGTAAATAAGATGTTTGGGCAAGTCCTTCCACATCTTCAGAAAGTTAACTTAAAGTCTAATTTTTCCTCTTTAGTCTGCAAATAAGATGTTTGGGCAAGTCCTTCCACATCTTCAGAAAGTTAACTTAAAGTCTAATTTTTCCTCTTTAGTCTGCAAATAAAATGTTTGGGCAAGTCCTTCCATATCTTCAGAAAGTTAACTTAAAGTCTAATTTTTCCTCTTTAGTCTGCAAATAAGATGTTTGGGCAAGTCCTTCCACATCTTCAGAAAGTTAACTTAAAGTCTAATTTTTCCTCTTTAGTCTGCTCGTAAACATTATTTTAGAAAGTTCCTTTTGATATGACATCTCAAATTTATTTGATAAGGTGGCTATTAATGCCTCGTAGTTGTTATGGCAATCTGTGGGAAGGTTGCTTAACTTAATTGAAGCTGGTACTTTTAAATGTACAGTTAGATGAATAGCTTCTCTAAATTTACTTTGGTAATGATTTAGAGCTGTTATTAATATGTTTCCTATGATACCTTTTTGTCACAATATGTTGCTTTCTCGATTGAACAAAATTATTGATTGACCTGTAATATGATGAAGTAGTAGTGTACCTGGAGAAAACCAGGAAGATTAACTTAAGGCTTCCCACATAGAGAGTTGGTTGCAATTTACCTCTTTAGAGCAACTCGATTCCCGTATCTCCTTCTGCAGATAATTTCCCAGATTTTGCTACCACATGACATTAAACACATGTAGTTATCGAAACACTGTTGATCATCACATTCTGAGGTTTTCCATCAATGCATCAATTTACCTGTAAGATACTTTCATTGGCACATTGACTAAAGATGGCACAGAAGTAGTGGTAACATGTAAAGACAAAATGGGTTTTACTATTCCTTATTGCACAGGTAATGGTGTATGAGGTTGGAATTATTAGGCTCAGGCTCATGCACAGAGGTATTGCTGGTTTGAACCTTGCATTTGTCAGTTCAATTTCTATATGTCTTATCTTTAATCGCCTTTCTTTTTTTACTTCACAAGTTTAATTTTTCTGTACTTCGTTGATATAGTTTTGTATTTCTTTTTGACTTTATTGGTGTTTTTTTGTACATTTCTTATAGCCTCCTCGATCTTGTCTTTGACCAAGTAAATTAAATTTGTAATATTCTGCAAATTTTATGACTTATTTTTAATAATTCTCTTAAATTCCCGTCTCTTCTAATTTTCTTTGCGATATTCTTGCCACTGTCACACCATTTCCATTTCGCTTCGATTACGTGTGTCATCTTGAAGATGGGTTTGATTTTTTTAATCAAAATAACCCTACTATGATACTAGTGGTTCAATGTTTTATTTTTGGAGGCTGGGTCTGGACTATTTGTTGAAAAGAAGAAAGTCTTTGGACTGTAAGTTCTAAAAGTTAATTTAAGTAATGTTCATTGATAGGTCTAAGTTTACAGTAGACACTATTACAACAGTTTCATTAACTCTTGTACTGCGATACTTCCTGCACCACTATTACTGTGTGACAAGCACAACATAAAATATAAAAAAAACTAAACTAGATAACTGTCTCATAAACCGAGTCAAATAATAACTCCAAACTCAATGAAGCTTACTAATCCACTGTTGCCTAACTCGCATTTTATATTCCTCAAACTGTTTTGAAACTTTGGAGAAAGTTCCAGATGTTAACTCTTTCACTGGTCAAACAATACAAACACCTAATTAAAACAATATCCTAAAACAGATGAAATTCTTGCTAGAAACACAAGTTCTATTGTAGCTAAACGTTCCATAGTTAGTGTGTAAAAACCAACAATGAAACCCATGTTAGAAACAGTTTGTGTTAGTGAAATCTTACATCAAGTTTATATAACAAACAACTTCCACGAAGTTTGGAAAAGAAACAAGGAATCTCAGGAAACAAATATCTAAGCTTTACCACAGCTTTCCTTGTATCATGTCCATAAGGGCTGAAGGAGTTTAATCTTATAAACACCGTTTTTATATTATCTGTTTTTCTACCCACTTAGTGTGACAAACACAGCTTTACCACAGCTTTCCTTGTATCATGTCCATAAGGGCTGAAGGAGTTTAATCTTATAAACACCGTTTTTATATTATCTGTTTTTCTACCCACTTAGTGTGACAAACAAAAAAGATTTGATGAACATAAAGATGTACGGTACCTACTCTCCCATAAAGCCCTTTGAAGCAGACATGAAGGAAGCTAGCTCTAGTTCGTTGTAAGGTGGACCCATTTCTGTAAGGATTTTCTTGAAGGAATAGAAGTGAAGGCCATCTTCGTAAACGTTGAATTGGTAAACCTGGTAATTTAAAAACAGCTGAAATAACTTAACGGTTCTATTTTACTGACGACAGAGAGACGTTAAATAAAAGCAAGTTTTATTATAGATAGACAGATTTATTTCTTACCTCATCAGCTAAAATGAAGAGACTCTCCTCATACGCAAATCTGATAATGTCTTTAATGTCTTTTTTGGACAGAACAAATCCTAGAAAAGATATAAAATGTTCCCTTAAAAATACGAGAAATGTCAAAGTAGCTTACTATTATGGCAAACTTTCAGTAATAACTTGTTTAACGTTTTCACATAATTATTTAGTAAATTCACGTATCTTTGCAAACCTTTGAATATGATCGATGTTTCAGTTTGTTGGATAACATCATGGATACCTTACAATGAACAGCCTTGGTCCCTGTTAACCCTACTTTGTCTTCAGTAATGCTTGTATCACGTTCAGATGACTCGCCTGTACATTAATTTGCTAAAAGTATCTAAGTGTAACCTTTAAGCTTATTATATAGGACTGTGTATATTTATCTTCAATAAAAGTTGAAAGTTAGACCAGATGTTGAATGAAAATTGAACAATGTACACACTGGTAGATGTTCTACCTTATATGAGGAGTGAAGTCTGACGATACAGTTGTCAATGATATATCATACATAAACCGCATGAGGAGTGAAGTCTGACGATACAGTTGTCAATGATATATCATACATAAACCGCATGAGGAGTGATGTCTGACGATACAGTTGTCAATGATATATCATACATAAACCGCATAAGGAGTGATGTCAATGATATATCATACATAAACAGCATGAGAAGTGAAATCTGACGATACAATTGTCAATGATATATCATACATAAACCGCATAAGGAGTGATGTCAATGATATATCATACATAAACAGCATGAGAAGTGAAATCTGACGATACAATTGTCAATGATATATCATACATAAACCGCATAAGGAGTGATGTCAATG